AGCCTGGCCAAAATGGCGAAACCTGTCTTTACTAAAAATACAAAAATTATCTGGGCGTGATGGCACACCTGTACTCCCAGATACTCGGGAGCTGAGACATGAGAATTGCTTGAACCCAGGAGGTGGAGGTTGCAGTAAGCAGAGATCGTGCCACTGCAGTCTAGGCTGGGTGACAGAGCAAGACTCTCAAAACAACCAAAAATAGCGCATGTAGTTCCAGCTACTTGGGAGGTTGAGGTGATAGAATTCCTTGAACCCAGGAGCTCAAGGTTGCCGTGAGCTAGGACTGCACCACTGCACTCCAGCCTGAACAACAGAGAGAGACTCTGTCTCAGAAACAACAACAAAAAAGTGACTTTATTAAAAACTTTTCTGAATTACCTAGTATAAGTGTGCTTTCTGCCTAAACTCTGACTGATACTCCTGTCTTTCATCAAGTCTCACAAATTCTGACATTATATTCTGATTATTGCCTTCACCTTATACTCGAATTCCTCTCCTGGAATTTAAATGAGATATATTTTAAAACTTCTCAACTCTCTTAACCTCTCTCTCTCATTTTCTTTTGTGTTATATTTATGTAAGCATCTCTCATATTTTCTATATCTTTATCTCTTGCTGCTGCATTCTGAATGATTTCTTTACATCTGTGTTCTCATCAGCCATTTTCTACGCTTTAACCTGTTCATTAAATTTTACATCATTTTCACTTCTAGAAGTTCTCTCTCTTTTTTTTTTTTTGAGATGGAGTCTTGCTCTGTTGCCCAGTCTGGAGTACAGTGGCATGGTCTTGGCTCACTGCAACCTCCACCTCCTGTGTTCAGGAGATTCTCCTGCCTCAGCCTCCCAGTAGTGGGGATTATAGGCATGTGTCATCACATCTGGCTAATTTTTGTATTTTTAGTAGAGATGGGATTTCACCATGTTGGCCAGGCTGGTCTCAAATTCCTGACCTCAAGTGATCCACTTGCCTCAGCCTCCAGAAGTGCTGGAATTACAGGTGTGAGTCTATGAGTCACACTGCCTGGCCTACAAGTTCTCATCCAATTTTTTTTTTTTTTTTTGTATAGTGCCTTTCTGTTCCTTATGATTTCAAGTCTTTTCATTTGACACTGCAATTATTTAATAATCTCTTTTAAGTTGTTATGTTATTGATCATATAAATCTTTCTTTTTGCAATGACTGCTGACCCCTCCTTGTGGTAACTGTTTTTCTACTATGTTTTATAATCTTTTATTGTGAGCTTATTTTTAGTTAGAATTTATTTGTGTGTGTATGTCTGTGTGTCTTAGGATGTTCTGTATCCTTCAGGTATTAGAAGGCTTGTTTCTAAACAGTTTTATGTTTGCTTTTGCTGGAAGCTCCAGGGTTTCACTTATGTGGGCACCATTTTTACATTAATTTATTGGCTGGAGGTTCCTACACCATGTGGGTTATATAAATTCAGAGCCCAAGTACATGTGTGGAATAGGCCTAGGCCTGCTATTTGTAATGAAGAACTGTTTCCCCATAAAGACAAACTTTCTTATTCCTTTTCTGAGCTAATCAGGGAGTATATCTAGTCCATTTTACTAAGGGACGGCCCTTCAGGAATCCTGGCTTTATCTGAGGGTTTCACTTTCTAGTCCCTTCCTTGTACATTCTGAAACTAAGTTGCTTGCACCCTAACTAAGGAATTTAATATGCAACTTAGTTTGGACATTAAATTCCAACCCTTGTGAGCAGGCTCATCAGTTTGGCTTTATGTTCCTTTATTTCTGGCTATTGGGAATGTTTTTGTCTTCTGAGCTCAGTTAAGTATTTATTTCCTTTAATTCTTTATCCAGCAAATCTATGAACTTTTATTGAGGTGAGATTCCATAAATTATCGTTACAAAGAGTGCTGGAACTTGCTTGGTGTGGGCAGAGCCACACTTCTCAGAAGGTTTTCGGGGGAGTCTCTTCTTGCCTCTTCCAGATGGTAGCGGTTGTAGGCATTGCTTGGCTTGTGGCTGCATTCCTCTAATCTCTGACTCCATTTTCACTTGCCTTTCTCCTCTGCATGTCTGTATGGAACTGCTTCTGTCTCTATTCCTGAGTAAATCATGATCGATGCCAGGCTCCGGGGAGCAACTCTTACCCTGTGCTGTTAGTGTGCGTCTTAAGCAGGCAGTAACCATTGGCTCTGGACAACATCAATACACTTACTCATCTGTTCAGTTCTATAAAACATTTAAGATAGTTTCAGAATTGTTTTGCCAATACCTGTATAAGTAATAAATGTATTAAAAAGAGCTCAGGATTTGTTTCTTGCTCTCTGTAACTTTAATCTTGTCTACAGCTGGGGGTATACAGTCAAAAATACCATGTTCATGAGTTACTTGGATTAGTTGTTCTGTTTTATTTTTTCCTCTTAGTTCTCTTTTCCTTCTTTACCTTGGTGATGGTATTCACTTGAAATAAGATTGGTTTATTTGTTTTAGTTTGCTTCAGGTTTTAGGTTTTTACTTTCCTCTTCCCATCATTGTTGATTTTTATTTTGCTTTTTCTTTTTTTTTCTTGAGACAGAGTCTCTGTTGCTCAGGTTAGAGTGCAGTGGCAGTGAAGTTATCTCGGCTCACTGCAACCTCTGCCTCCTAGGCTCAAGCAATTCTCCTGCCTCAGCTTCCCGAGTAGTTGGTATTATAGGTGAGCACCACCACACCTAGCTAATTTTTTTGCATTTTTAGTAGAGATGGGATTTCACCATGTTGGCCCCACTGGTCTCAAACTCCTGACCTCAAGTTATTCGCCCGCCTCGGCCTCCCAAAGTGCTGAGATTACAGGTGTGAGCTACTTTGCCTGGTTCATTTTGCTTTTTGAATATGTAAAACATGCTTCTATAAGTTAAAGCTATACTAAAAGGTATACCCAGAGAGGCATCAGTCTCCCCTGTAGCCCTTCTACCCCACTCTCTTCCATTATACCTTGTAAGTAACCAGATTGTTTCCTGATTAATCGCTCGTGTTTTTTTTTTCTGCAAAGAGAAACATACGTATATATATATATCTTATTTCCCTTTATTGCTTACAAACAGTATGCTCTTTTGCATGCTGGGAAGCTTCTTTCTTAATGAGAGAGGCAAGAAATTAAAGAAGAGATACCACTATTATTTTCAGTTTTAAGTTTTCCTTTTCCGCCTTTCCTAATGCCTTTAAAGGGTGGTCATCTAAGCTGGATGTGAATTTTAATGTGCACATGAATCACCTGGGATCTTGCAACAAGGCAGATGCAGTAGGTCTTAAGTGAGGCCTGGGATTCTGCATTTCTGATAGGCTCACATGTGGTGCTGATGCTGTTGGCTCTGGGCCACGGTTTGAATAGGACTCCAGACTCCTGGGTGTGACCAGACTGAGTCATGGACAGCCTCCCTTGACTCTGGACTCCTCCTTTACATGAACTACACAAACATACAATACAAAAGTCATGCATATCAATCAGTCAGTATCTGGAAAAAGTCAGTGGACCACTAGTCCTCCAAAGAATACAATTCCAAATGCCAATTGGGGGTTATTCTACGCTAATTTGCTAATATGGCATTGAAAAATTGAGGATTTCATGTATTCTTAGCTTTACCTTGGGGGAAGAATTGTGGCCAGAATTGTACTGAACATGTTTGGATTTTATTCTAGAAAAATGAGTGACCGTGGTTATTCTGGACCTGCAGCTTCTAATTAACTACTTTGTTACTTACCACCTCCCTCAACAAACAAAATGGTCAATTTATAATCAGAAAAGCCCATGCCTTTTTACTCTCAAATGAAGATTAAGATCACCAAACAGCCTCCTCTCACTGCATGGGGCTCTTCAGTCCCTAGTGGACAATAGTCATAATCTAAAATCTATTACATGTAATTTCAACATCATTTAGCACAGCTGCCAATCTGCCAAAGCAGAGCCCACAAATTGAGCTGCCATGGAGACCAAATCATCTTCCTTTTAAGCATGTCATCCATGCAGTGGGCTGGAGGTCACTTGGAAGAGAGCACAGGGGAACCTTGTTTTGTGTCCCTTTGTTCCCGTCTACTTACCTTCTCATAAAAAAATGTATTCAATTTAGAGACACATCAGCATAAGCTCCTCCAGCAAGTGCAAATATTTGCTTGGGAGAGGAAAACAAAATAATGTCTGAATGAAAAAAGCTTTCATTTTCTATTAGGCTTTGATGTTACTTTTTTATTTGAAGCCAAGGGAGAATAAGAAATTGAATTCCTTTTGTAAAAGTGAGGCACGATAAAGGTTGGATAAAAATTGAAGCTGTTTGTAAGTTAGGGAGAAAAATGCTGCCTTTTACTGCAACATATATGATCCGCACAATGTTTCCTTAGCATCATCTTTAAGGATTTTTTTTTTTAGCAGAGTGTGGTGGGGGAAATGTTTTATGTATGTACGCCTGAGTTGCTGATTGACAGAGTTCATGGATGTCTCTTTTGAAGTGAGAACAATCTAATCCTGGAGCCACAGCACCACCCACAGATGTCATACTAGATCTCAGCTGTCAACTTGCCACCTTATTTTATTGCTATTTTCTTTTGCTTTTGGCTTTCATCAGCTATTGTTCTTCAAATAGTTGGACCACGCTGTAGCATGCCACTGTTGGGCACATTTTTTTTTTTTCATAGTCACAATTGAGGACTGATGTTGCATGTCCATTGAGTTTACTTTTAGGAAACTTTGTCACTTAATAACAAATCCCAGGAAACCTGTTGTGCCCTAGAGTTATTCATACCACATGGGTCTTTGAGGTTAGGTACCTTTGCCAACCAAAAACCCCATTTCTGTTTAAAGTGAAGTGATATGAGAGAATGCCAGGATAAAAAGCTACTCAGGACATCTGTTGGGATTTCACTCTGTAGTAGGAGAAAAAACAAAACAAAACAAAAAACCTTAGGAGTTTTCACTGCTAAACTGTTTGTATCCTCAGAATTCTAAGTCACAATGCACACAACGGCTGGCATATAGAAGCTCTCAGTTGCTGTGGTAGTGAGGACATGGCCTGTGCCGTGGCTGTGGGCACTGCTGGAGTTCAGATCTGCCCAGGTGTGTCCCATGTACTGCTGAGATGGGGTGCCAGCAACTGGCATTTTTGAATTTATTTGCATGAGGGTGTATAGTTTTGACTGGAGGAGGAAGGAAGCCATTTTGGGTGAGCTGTGTTGCTGGTGGTGGAACCTGGGGGCACACGATAAGAGGGAGAGATGAGGCCAGCTCCTTGGATGAAGGCTGAAGTTGAGGACGCGGTCTTCAGTGACTGAGCTTCTGGTCAGAAGCATTGTCACGGGTACTCTCCCAGCCAGTGTGACCTGAAGTACAGAGGGATCTTTCCATGTCTGTATGAACCACAGTACAGCTCCTGCACAGGGAGAATGGAAAGAAATGTGCCATCTTGGCAACTAGAGGGTCTGGCGGCTTTGGGAGCAGGGAAGGTAACATGGCGCCATCTCGTGGTGGGCTTGGTTCGACTGCTTGGACCTGCGGAAGTGGGGCTGCAGTGGGAGAGGAAAAACGTGGTGGACAGATTGATGTCTAAGAATGCATGTGCAGTGCCCTCTGGAGGCTTGGAGGTATAACTGGGAGAACGTTGCAGGAAGCTAGAGGGCTAGAGGGTTAGAGCCATTGAAATTTGAATGTTTGTACTTGCAGCCTGGTGACACTTGGGAAAATCCTAGTTATATTAGCCAATGATTTTTTTCTTTTTGGCTAACAGTTTAACGATTACGAATCCCAAGATTAGTGAGATGTTCTCTAAGGTAGATAAAAATGACAAAAGAATGATAAAAATTATTATAGCATGTGTGTATCAAATGTTTCTTGTGCACGCACTTCGGATTCTCTTGGACCTCTTTTTTATTCTAGTTTTTGCTGTGGCAGCCATCTGTGCTCAGGTGTAACCTGACTCTGTCTCACCTCAGCTGCACCATTTATCACTTGCTTTCCATCCTGGGGCATCCCTGCTAACATCACCTAGGATACCTACAGAAATTTGCTCAGTCATTTATAGCCACACACTTCAAGTGTGAGAAAGGTAAGATTCAATAGGCAGCCCTTGGCCAATGGGTAATGGGTAATATGGATACACTCTCCCCTCTTCTTTCTCTTGAGGAGACAATTCTGAGGTGTTTTCTACATGGTTCTTCAGAGTGTCCCCAATGAGAGGGAACCCCATTGCCCAAAAGGGAACCAGCTTGATAACATACCTGATTTTGTCTTTCTCTTCTTTTTTATTTCACTCTTTTTAGCACCCAGTCCCTTACCCACTTCTGTTCCCACAAGCCCTTGTCTTGTGGAAAGGAAGGTTGCTTCAAAAAGTGGAATGACCCAGGATAAGACAGGGTGAAAGTCAGCTCGACATGTATTGCTGTCACCCTTATTTTCCCACCAATGAAATACATACCTGGAAAAACGGGGAGTGGAGGGTGAAGGAAGGAGGGCTGGTTAATTTCCTGCTGGTAGCAAAACTCTGTTATTGTTAAGCTCAGTGAGCATTTAATACTCTTCTACTATGATCTAGGGCCTGTTTTACTCAGAAATTGCTGAGACAGATCCCTGCCATTAGCAAGCTCACAAACCATTTGGGAAAGGCAGATGTGTATGTATCTTATAATGCATCCAGTACTAAAGAGAGGGTTAGTGTGCTTTAAAGCACGTAGAGAAAGGAACAGTTAATGTTGACTGGGAGTGAGAAGCCTCCACACAAAAGAAGGCATTCGATCTGGACCTTGAGAGATAAAAAGGCTACTGAAGATAGAGAATTGAAGAGCTGGAGATGCTTAAAAAGAGTCTTACTGAAATGGAATTGGGGTGAACTTTACTGTCCTCCCAGCTTAAGGGGCAGAGGCCTGCAGCCCTAATTCCACTTCCTTTTCTTCCCCTGCATAGTGTTTTGATTGCTGTCTCACAACCTGCCTTTGCAGAGATACCCTGCCTTCCTTTTCTCTTTGGATATTTTATCATCTTTTGTATAGGACAGAGCTGTAGTTCTTTATCTTGCCTGTGCTGGCTGTGGAGGCCTTATCTCTGGATGCTGGACACTGGAAGAGACTTAATCATCCTGAGTGGATTCTCTTCTACTAATAAGTGGGGATTACCTTAGTTTAGATGAAAGTGTTCAGGTGTGATTGCCTAATGCATGACTCACAAGATCACTGGGCACCACTCAAGGACAAGCATCTTTATGTTGAAAGCAGAGGTCACATTTGCAGGTTCACCTCCTCTCCTGCTACCATCTGGACCACTAATTGTAACATGTATTCACTAAGTGCATAGTGAACAGGTGTGTATTATTTTCTTGTTTATTTCTGAATAAGGACCAGAGATGCATTTATTTTCTCACATATAGAGATTTGGCAGAATTTTATGACTTGGCCCCAGGAAGGGCAGGGTTGGTGCAAAAGACAGGTGACTGGAAAGGCTGGGACACATTATTCTCCTTACTCTAATTCTTTGCTGTTAACCTGGCTCATCTTTCTGAATATCTGCACTTCTCTGCCTCACTGGCATCTAAATAAATAATACATTTTTGAGTTTTGATTTACCAGCAAGGAAAGCAGAACAGTCCCACCAGGTCAACTAGCGATTGTTAATGGTTGATCTTACTAACCTTGCTCAACCAGTTAACATTCTTTTGCAAAGAAAGGTCTAGATCATGGGTGGGCAGTTGAGGGTAGATGGGGAAGTGGGCATGATGGGCATCTATATTGCTATCTCCAATCCATTTCATCCTTTGCTGCCATGTACACACTCCTCCTGTATGTACAAAGATACCTGTCCTAGCATGTTCAATAATATGCATGTCTGTGGATATTCACTTCACTTCCAACATAGAAGCAACCCAGAAGCACAGGGTTCCAAGAGGAAATGGATGATCCTTTGAAATTATAGTTCGATGAAGCTCATTTATAAAGGGACTATTTATAAAAGTATTGGTGAGGAGAACTACTAGTTAAAGCTGTTAACACCCTCTAGTTTCAAAGGGATGGGAAGAGATGACTCATGTTGAGTCAACCACATTAAAGAGGATTCAACAATTTAAATCAAGGGGCACATTCAGCCTGAGGCTATCCTGCAGGGAGAGATTCAGGTAAATACTGACCTTGCTTTCATTGTTCTGGTACTCCTATCTCCTGTATGGGACCTCCAATGGCCAAATCCAACCAGAGCCAGAAGACACATAAGCCATGCTGACATACTGAGGACAGGTCAGCTTCCAGGCAGGAGCTGAGTGAAGAATGGAGAGTGGATGTGAAGCGGAAATTGGCAGAGATACCCAGTGACTCTGTGGAAAGACATCTCAGTGTCTGTGCAAGAGTGCTCATCAGTCTCTCTACTTACAACCTACCGTTACTGTCCATTCCCTCTTCGGTTACACTGTGATCCTATCTAGGTGTTATTATTTATCATTCTACCACTTTTGGAATAAAATGAGGTTGGAAAAATACCCATTGCAGATACTGCTAATTGATCAGGGCTGTTTTTTTCCCCCCACTAAGCCTGAATTTAGTATCAAAATCCTTCTTAACATAGTGGTCCAGGCAGCCAACTCCAATAAATTGGCATTAATTTGAGATGCAAAAAATTTGCCATCTCTTAATCAGTAAATCTAACTATTATCTGTCTGCTTCACATGTAACAGTGGAGGAAAAACAGAATATGATTAAGATAATTAGAATGAAATAATAAGCCCTATTTTCTTTAAAAAGTGAAAAGGAAAAACAAAAATGGGAAGATTCTTTTTTCAGTCTTTGCAGAGTCTAGCAAGGAAAGAAGCCTGAGATACAAGGTGGCCACAGCCTTGTTTCTAGAGTTAGTCATGCAACCACAGCCGGCATGGAGTGCTTTCCTCAGTGGTGCCTGTCTTAGTTCATGCGGGCTGCTGTAACAAAATACCATAGACTGAGTGGCTTATCAACAACAGAAAGGTATTCCCACATGTCTGGAGGCTGGAGAGTCCAAGATTGAGATGCCAGTGGATCCAGTGTCTTATGAGGGCCCATTTCCTGGTTTATAAATGGCGTTTTCTTCCTTTGTCCTCTTGTGGTGGAAGGGACTAGGGTCTCTCTGGTGTCTCTTTTATCAAGGCACTGAAACCACAGTGAGGGCTCCCCACAATGACCTAATTGTCTCCCAAAGGCCCCACCTCCTAATGCCATCACCTTGAGGGTTAGGATTTGAACACATGAATTTGGAGAGGACATGAACTTTCAGCTTATTGCAGTGCTGTTGCTGAGCTATTATTATTTAAGACCTGCAGTCCCCTAGACACTGTGCTAAGTGCTTTATACAATTATCTCATTTGATCCTTACAGCAATCCTCATAGAAAGTGACTTATTCTCTTCACTTTATAGATGAGGAAGCTGAGGCTTAGTAAGGTTAAATAACCTGCCCAAAGTGTTGAATCTGTGGCAGAGATGACACACATCTCAGATCTGTCTGATTCCAAAGCACGTGCTCTCTACCTCTAGACAATGTGGCTTACCCTTCAATGGTTCTCTTGTCTTTGGAAAACAATTTTTCTGGCTGGAGAACAAATGAGGTCACCTCTCTAATTCCTCCCTCCCTGACAACTTAATACAAAATCCTCTGCTTCTGCCTGTTTCTCTAAATGCGAGTGAATACTACTGTGTTTAAGCCTATAACCTTTGTATCTTAGATGCACATGTGGGTAGGGCCTGGGGTCATGCACTGTATCATGCTTCTACTTGATCAATCCCCCAATCAGAAACTTGAGGCAATCTCTATATGAGACAGTTCAGCAGCTGGCTGGCACCATCTCATCCTATATGAAAGAGGCTGGCCACAGCACAGACAGATAAAGTATTTGCAAAGCAAAGAAAGCCAGGGCCTTCTCTGGTTAGGCTTTATTCACATATATCCAAGGGCTGAATTCTATGTGCGAGGAACTGTGCTGGGTGCTGGAAGTAATAAAATAATGTCTTCATTCCTGCTGCCTTCAAGGTGCTTAAAGGCATCAGAGTAGTCCAGAGTTCCACAGCATACATTTTCCAGTGTCATTCACCATCCTTGGACAAGGTTTAGTCCATTCAGGGACCCAACACACATCTATTAAACTTGGACTGAAGTGGTCAGTTACCTCATTGTCTCCACCAGCAACTTTTGGCTGGAATCCCTTTTGAAGTGCTTAGTTGGGTCCTTCCAATCTTGATTGTGTCCCTCCTACTATTTTCCTAATGCAGTAGCATCTTCGATGTCTCTCCCAGGCTCTGATACACTGAACAGTGTACAGACTGAGGAGTCAAGTGTCCTGAGTTTGGACCTCTGTTCTGCTATTGATTCTCTGTGTAATTCTGGGCAAGTCCCTTTTCTTCTCTGAACTTTAGATCCCTGGGTGACAGCAGCTTCTACAAACCCTGGTTTTACAGTTAACACAGAAGCTCATACATTTTTTCTGGAGCCAGACTATTTATAGATGTAGTTTTACCAAAATCTGCTTTCCTTGAAAGAAGGAGTCTTTTTGTAGTTGCTCTGGCTACTAACAGCTTTATTGCCGATGTATGGCCAGCCACTGTCAGAGTTTATCACCCTTGCTCCTCCAAGTGTGGTCTGTGGACCACTAGCATTTATGTCACTTAGGAACTTACTAATTATGAAGAATCTCAGATGCTAGCCAGACCAGCTGAATCAGAATTTACATTTTAAAAAGATCCCCAGGTGATTGGCCCTTACATTACAGTTTGAGAAGCACTAAGCCCCATGCCCAGGAGAATTGATTAAATCAGAATCACTGCAGTTGGATTCTGGGCTCTCAGGTGCTTAGGTGAATTTTAATGTGTAGCTGGAGTGGAGAAGCTCTGAATAGTCTCACACAGAGGAGAACTGACCTTTGTGTAGAATGGAAGTCAGAAGTTGAGTGTCTAATTTAGCCTGAAGGAGGATTAGGACAGAAGTCGTTTTCTGGAGGCAATGCTTGAGCTGTTTGGGGAACACGAAGTGTCAGTTAGGCAGGGAGGAGAGGAAGGGTACTCCTGGTGTCCTGACCCATGGCTGCGGAATGAGACTGGGCTGCTGCAGGAGATGGGGTTTTGGGAAAGCAGGGGCCACCTGTGCCGTGCTTGGGAGTTTCTACTCCATCTCAGAGGCAGTGGAATGGGGCTGGGTGATGGCTGAAAAGATTGTGTTGAGCAGGGATTGATGCACTTAGATTTGCGTTTTAGGAAGCTTTTTTTTTTCTAGCAGATGTAGCAGAAAGTAGAAGGTAATGAAGGGAGAGAAACCACTCTAGGGGCTGTTTCAAATAAGAAATAAATGAATGTGAGTGTTGGAAAGAATGGGGAGGAAGAGAGAAATTGAGAAATACTTGGTTGGTGGCTAGTTTTATGAAATGTGATAACAAGGGAGGAGCTCAGAATGACTCCATGATTTCTGGTGTGGGGGAATGGGGAATGGTGGTACAGTTCTCCAAGACGGGCTACCTTTTGAATATTTGTCCCCTCCAAAACGCATGTTGAGGCTGAAATGGAGCAAGAAGGTTGAATAGAAGGCTCCCCGTATCCAACACCAAGTTAATAACTACACAGAAAAAAACACCCTCATAGGAACCAAAACTCAGATTAGCCCTCATAGTACCTGGTTTAAACTGTATATTAATAACAGAAGCACTGCAGAGATAGAAAAAACAGTTTGGAATTGCTGATGGCAGCCCTCCTCCACCTCTGGCAGCTGTGGCACAGTCAAGGAGCTTCTCTGGGCAGGCAGGGGAGAGAGCACAGCAATTGTGAAGCAGTGAGCTCAGTGCAGTCCTGTTAGCAGAAAGGAAAACCAGACGGAACTCAGTGGACTCCCTCCCAAAGAGGGAGCATTTAAACTGGGCTTGGTCAGAAAAGAATGCCCGATCACAGTGGTTTGAAATTGAGTTCCTGCAAACCTCACCACTGTGGGCTAAGGTGCTGTGTACTCTAAATAAACCTGAAAGGCAGTCTAGGCCATAAGGACTGAAACTCATAGGTGAGTCTTAGAGCTGATCTAGGCCCAGAGACAGTGGAGTGGGGGGCATATGACCTACTGAGACATCAGCCAGGATGGCTAAGAGAGTGCTGGCATCATCCTTCCACTAATCCCAGGCTGCATAGCTCATGGCTCCAAGAAAGAGCTTTTTCTTTTGTTTGAGGAGAGGGAAGAGTGGGGAGGATGTCGTCTTGCATCTGGGATACCAGCTCAGTCACAGCAGGATAGGGCACCTGTAAGAGTCATGAGGCCTCTGTTCCAGGCCCTGGTTCCTGCATGTCATTTCTAGACACATCCTGGCTAAGAAGGGAATCTACTGCCTTGATGGGAAGGACTCAGTCCTGGTAGCATTCATCGCCTGCTAATGGAGGAGACCTTGGGCCCTGAATGACAGCAGCAACATCTGTGTACCGCACTGAGGCCTTGGATGAGCCTCTGAGACTTGCTGGCGTCAGATGTTGGCTTCAGCACATTACCAGCTGTGGTGGCTGCAAGGTGAAACTCCTTGAGAAAGCGAAAGAAAAGTAAAGGGGACTTTGTCTTGCCCCTCAGGTACCAGCACAGCCACAGTTGGGTAGAGGACCATGCAGGCTCTTGGGGGTCCCCGATCCTGGGACTTAACTCTTATGCAACATCTCTGGGCCTGCCCTGGTCCAGAAGGGGGCCCACTGCCTTAAAAAGGTGAGTCCCAGGCCAGGAAATATTCACCACAAGCTGACTTAAGAGCCCTTGGGCCATAAGGGAACAGCAGTAGTCTGTCAGTACTCCCCATAGCCAGTGGTGGCGGTGGCTCTAGGGTGAGCTTCCTCTGCCTTTGGAAAGGGGAAAAAGAGTGGGAAGGATGCATCCTGTGCTTTGAGTGCTTGCTCAGCTGCAGTACAGTAGAATACTAGGTAGACTTCTAGGGGTTTTGACCTTAGTTCCTGACTCCTGGATGGTACTTGGGGTCTGGGGGAACTTGCTGCCCCAAAAGGCAGGACATAGGCCTGGTTGGCTTTGCCACCTGCTGATTATAGAGCACCAGGTCCTTGAGCAAACATACGGAGTAGCCAGGGATTGGTTACAGCAGGTGTTGGGTGAGACCCAGCGCTGTGCTGGCTTCAGGTCTGACCCAGCACAGTCATAGTGGTGGTGGCCACAGGGCTGCTTGTGTCACCCCACTACCAGCTTTAGGTGGCTTAGACCAGAGAGAGAGAGAGAGAGAGAGAGAGAGAGAGAGAGAGAGAGAGAGAGAGAGAGAGAGAGAGAAGAGACAGTGAGATTCCATTTGTTTGGGAGAAAGTGAGGGAAGAGAACAAGAGTGTCTGCTTGGTAATCCAGAGAATTCTCCTGGATGTTATCCAAGACCATCAAAGCATTACCTTCACCAGTCTGCAAGAACCATGGCATTACTGGACTTGGGATGTCCCCTAAAGCAGATACAACTTAGATCACAACACCCAAGTCCTTTCAAATATCTGGAAAGCCTTCACAAGAAGAATAGGTACAAATAAGCCGAGGCAGTGAAGATTACGATAAATACCTATCTCTTCAATGCCCATATACTGAAGAATATCTCGT